TTTTTTATTAACCTGTCATTCTTTGTCAATTATAATTGTTATTCAAATTCCGTACGTAGCAGCGTATCAATTTGATCAAAGGCAATAGCATCGAGGATTGGTAAATAAACAAGCAGTCCGGGATGAAATAAATTGCATTTCAATTGAGCGTTTATTTGCGAAAGATGAAACATTGTCTGTTTTTTTCTTTCAGCAATTGCATTTTTCAATGAAATATATAAATTGGATAGATATAATTTTTAATAAACACTGAAAAGGATAATTGGTTTTTAATTTGTTTTATAAAGATAGGCTTGTCCATGATGAACTGCTAAACATACAAGTGACCATGGATTTGTGGTCCTAGGATATGCTGATGACCTTGCAGTCATCATTAGAGGCAAGCATGATAGGATCATTAGTGAACTCATGTAGAATGCCCTCAACATCATCAAAAGCTAATGGTGCTTGCAACAGGGTCTAAGGGTGAATCCTAGTAAGACAATAATTGTACCATTCACAAGGAAAAGGACTCAACTTAATAGCTCCAACACTCGATGGAATACAAATAGGCCTTTCAAGTGAAGTCAAATATCTGGGCGTTGTCCTAAATCAAAAGCTCACCTGGAACTCACATTTAAAAACAATAATCGATCGAGCAACAGTAGCGTACTGGACATGCTGAAGACTATTCAGTAAAATGTGGGGTTTTATAGGATGATTATAAGACCGCTGGTCACATATGCTGCATTGGTGTGGTGGCCAAAAGTGGAGCAGCAGACAGGGCAAAACCGATTGGCAATTGTCTTGGAATAACAGGTGCCATGAGCACCTGTCCAACGGCTGCTATAGAGGTCATGTTAGATATCATCCCTCTGCACATTGCAGTGAGGAGGGAGGCCTACATGGGGGCCTTAAGGGTTATACGGTCTCTAAACCTAAAGGAAGGGGACCTTGTTGGACATATGAGCATCATTGAAGAATGCCATGGTATACCAACAAAACCAGTGGAAATCATGCCACCCAGATACGAATTTAATCACCTTTTTAGTGTGGTACACAGATGGATCGAAAACAGAAGAAGGGGTCGGAGTAGGCGTATATGGCCCAAACTGCAGGCTATCGGTTGCCTTAGGAAAAAACCCCACCATATTCCAAGCGGAAACGTACGCAATAGACCTCTGGGCCAGAAAATGTCTTGAAATAGACCTACGAGGTGAGAGAATCTTCATCAATTCTGACAGTCGGCAGCACTTAAGGCTCTTAACAGCTTTGTCACTGAATCCAGACTAGTCTGGAACTGTCAGCAACTTCTAAAGCAACTGGCGAACTGCAATATACTCACTCTAGCATGGGTACCAGGGCACCAAAACATAGAAGGAAATGAAATAGCGGACCGGCTTGCAAAAGAAGGCGCCGCGTCACCATTCCTCGGTCCAGAACCCTTCTTTGGCTTGACAAAATGCCATGTAAGAACCAAACTCAAAAAATGGGTATAGGCACAACAGGCCTCCAATTGGAACAATACTCCAGGACTTAGACAGGCGAAGCAATTCATCTCGCCAAAGACAACAAAGGCAAAGGAACTACTCGATTTCAGCAAACCAGACTTGAGGCTCATAATGGGTCTTCTCACCGGCCACTGCCCTGTTGGCTACCACCTAAAAAGAATGGGTAAAGCTGAATCAGACCTTTGCCGCTTCTGCAAAGAAGCATCCGAATCTGCTGAACATATACTCTGCAAATGCGAAGCATTATGTCACAAAAGACTCATTCATCTGGAGCAGACACATTTGACTGCTACGGATGTTAAATGAACCAATCCCGGAAAAATCGTGAGATTCGCGAAAAGTCTCAACCTGGGAACCTACTAGAAAAAGGGGAAACACAATAGATCTATTCAGGTCGCAGTGTAGAGAGGTCCATCACCTAAACGCCCCTAACACAATCTAATCTAAATCTAATATACGCTTGTCCATAGCAAAGTTTCGTCCATAGCAATCAATGATACGATTATCATCAAATGAAGTGCTCCTGATGAAATCCCGCAAGTTTTATTTAAAAGCTATCATAGCATGTGTGTATCATGCAAATTTCAGTCTAGGAAAGAACAAAATTGAATTTTAAAAATGATACATTTTTTCCAACGTATTGCCTTTGGATAGAAGTTAGTTCTTCCCAGAGGTTCGTTGAAGGATAAATTGAAAATGTCCTAAGCATAGGTTAAGTGTGAAGGGAGAGCTTAATTTAGATAAATAACATTTCACTAGATGGAAAACATTAAAGGGACTTTTTGATTCCCCTGTATATTGGTGAGCATTCTTATGGCAATAAACTGAAGGGTAATCGGTAAAACTGTGAGCAAAAATTAACTTGAATTAAAAATTCATAAACACGACTTGAAGGTGGAAAACGACATATTTTCATATCCAATCCACCTTTTCTTCGATACTCTACATTTTTAATAATAATGAAAATATCAGAGTGAAATAAAAAATTGAAATGTTCTTTTGTAATTTTGCCTGTGTGTTTATTTATCATATCAACTCATTCTGGATCATAGTTGCAAGAGACAACTTTCCGGCGTTATCGAATAGTTTCTAAATTATATGACACCTATCCCTCTGATATTGAGATCATTGTCACATCATTTTTACCAGAAAAGTCCAGAGAAACCGAGATAGTATAGCTTGAAACAATAAAATTATAAAAAACCATAAGAATGGTGTAAAAAGTAAGGAATAAGTTGCGAAGGGCGTACGTACTTGGACCATTTATTAAAGGATAACAAGCCATTTAGATATGTGATTCAATGCAGTGCTTAATATGGTAAAGCAGAGCACGGATAACAGTGAATAGATCTTTTTTATTTCTTTTTTAGTGAGGAGGGTGGACGGTTAAGGTAGGAAAAATGTAAAGTTTCAAGCAAGGAAGGCATCTTCCAGCTCTAACTTACTCCAGGCGATACAAGGTATTTGATTCCCAAAGTTGCATTAATCATGAAACTTCCAGAAGGGGTGAAAGACGTCATTTCTTATTACTGAAAATATCGGAAGTATAATCATGGTTGAAATGGTTCATGGCATGGCAATTCATCACAAGTATGGTATGCAGACCACAATGGATCGAGTTTTGGCTGCGTATTGGTATTTACAGCATCGTCATAGATTTTATGGAATAAATTTTTGAAGCATATTGTGCCAGTTAGTTGATATCTGATAAAATAAGCAACTTCTCGATTAGAGACCATTAGGACTGGGTAATTATGGCATTATTAAACCATGAATTTTTGAAATAGATATCCTGCTTGTAATGGGAACATAATAAATTAAATTTGCGTTCACATTTACAGAAAAAAATAAAAACGAGTTGATTGTCCATCAGAGTTTAACACGCGATTTTTACATTATCTTTGCGTTAAACTAAAATGTGAATTAGATAGGCCGCTAGTCAAAAGTGACACGTAACTCCGGATGGTTCGATAAAATGCCTACCTTTTCAATGAAAAATATCAGATAATGAAAAAGGTGAATGCAGACAACAACACTTGTATTTGGATTTATAAAAACTACAGAGAAATTTACTAGGTAATTAGTAGAGTGTAATGAAAAATAATTATTAGAATAAACGCCTGTTGGCTGGCAACAAGTTGATAGAACAAATGAGAAAATTCAACCATCTTATTCATATTTAGCAAGAATAGAAATGTAAAAGAAGAAGTAATTTTATTAAAGCATCAGAGATCTGGAAGAGATATTTACATGAAGAAACAAGCAAAGTAAATCATTTTTCGACTCAATTATAGAGATGTGTTCCTAATGAAACTGGCGAAACAGTAGACTGTGACATATTAAATTTAAATCAATCATCTGATTAGGTAGTAGAAGCTCCTCCAGTATCGAATCAGTTGACAAATTATTGATTAAGGGTAACATCATAATTTTTGGCAACTGCCAAGGTAATATAAGAAACTGCTCCAACCCACGCACTAAATATGTGTTGTCCTAGGACTAGAAGTGCAGTAAATGGACAAACTGATGCATGTAGAGTAAACTGATGATATGTTTTATATAAGCAAAGAAAATTAAGCTCTACATTTCAATATAGGACTTTCCTTTTCCTCCCACTTCATTATTCCGCAACATCGCGAGACATCATCCTCAATAATATAAAGGATCGAGCGAGAGGACAAGGATAAGACACAATATTAGTTTAGGACAAGGTCTTCCGGAATATTGAAATGTGAAGTGGCTGGAATATGAATGACAATTCACATAGAAAAACTAGATAATCACTTTTGATTTCTCTAGAAATCACCAGGAGTTTTTGTAGGAGCTTGGCAATGTTTACTTCAGCATATTGTGCCATAGAAATTTGGAAAAGACAACAAATCGAGCCGATTATTGGGCTTAATGGTACAAGATTCAAGTAGGTATCTCAATGATGATAATGTGTAGATTAATCAATCAAAACAATAAATTCAAATGCTCAGTAGCTACAATGGACAGCGATGATTTAGGGAAAAAGGAAATGATAACTAAGGATAACGAAAAAAGGAATTGACTGATCCATATTGGAAGTAATTGACAGAACACTAGAGAACAGGTAGGTGAGAGCTGGGACGGATGAGGGTTTAAAGTAGAAACACAAGTTGTAGAAATAATTTAAGTATTCAAGTACCTACTAAGTATCTCCAGAATAGAATAAATACGAGAAGCAACATAATGAATGCAGAGGAAACAGTGATTAAGCACATTGACAGAAAACAACCTGAAATGGTTTGGTCAGATTACGTACTCTTCCAGAAATAAGTTAGAAAACCATAGAATCAAGGAATCGAAGGAAGTTCAAAATTCCTCTCAACCGAAAATATTTAACAAATCTTATGACACTGGCATATTGCCATATGGCACCAATCAAATGCTAATTAGAATTACATTTATATAAATATATAATTGAAATTATCGTTGAAATGCTAATTTAGTTTTATTATTGCAGTTTATGCATCCTGATTCATTTACCACTTTAATTTTATTTTCTTCACTTTTGTCACTTATAGTTTTTGTTTGTTTTTTCCTTACACAATTTATTTTTATTTCCTCCAATAATTATATAAATTTAAATCACACACAAAAAAAAAAATTGTCCACGAAAAAATACCACTTCGTCCAGGTATCGCGGAACAGATGTCAGTTCAGCTTCCTGGGGTTACGACACGCGACGACGAAACTACGTTTCGGTGGCGGATTGCGTGAATCGGGCGTCTCGACGCCCTATGAAATCGCGCCCGGCGCCGCTCTGAAACGGCGCTGCGTTTCCTGAAACGCGACTGTGGGAAATGCAGGAGCATCGCTGAAGGCTACATTCACGTTTCGTGAAGGAGCCCAGGAAAACGCACGCGCTACGAAGATGATAAACTTTTTTTTGTTTAATTGGTATCTAAGTATTAAGTAATATTTTTCCTGTTTTATAGGTGTCTTGTTCTCGAGCTGGGTTTTGAGAGCTTGGAAAGAAAACGATTGGGCTTTACAGAAGTTTTTTTTTATCCAAGGTCTCTGGCACTAAATCTTCCAACTGGGTTTTGATTTGACTTTGGAAGTTTGTACTGACTCTCATCCAGAAGGCCATATGGCTCAGATCGCCAGCGATTAAAGCCTAGATCGCTTTTCATACATTTTACATTTCTCCTTTTTGAAAATGAAAATAGCAGCAGCTGTAAACACTTTCCGTAAATGGGATTCTGATGGAAAAACTTTTGTTGCAGAGTTTGCTTCTTTTTTTTTTGCTTTCTCATTTTCTAACTTTATTAATAAGTTGGGGGTGGATTCAAAGCTAGGCTTTTATACCATTGCTTGTTGCTGTGGATTTCTCAAATGCATTCTTTGAAATATTTACTTTTGGGAACTTCTCACTAATGTCTGGCTGGCGAGGTCGACATTGAGGTTAATTTTGGTATTGGCAATGATTTCTTGTGGTGTATTTTGTCTCAACGCTCATATTAATTAAACATTAAGGAATCGTAGGTAAATGTAAATTTTATTATTTAATTAATGGTAAACGTTGAGATCGATATTTCATTTCTGTAGATTTTATGAATTAACTGTGTATCTTTTCTTATCTGATATGAAATAAAACCAGACTATTTGACTATTTGACACACTATATTATATCTATCAAAGTCCAAATGAAACATTTTATATTACTGGTGAATATCTTTCAACATACCTTTTGAAACTAATATAATAAGGATATAACAGTCTCCCACGTTATTTAATGAATACCTACAAACAAAATATATGTTAACAAATAAAATCTTTCAAACGTCTTGGTTTTTCTCTTAGTGTCAGTCTCAGACCTTTCAGCAGGGTTTGGTACAGGAATTTCTTCTGGAACTGGCTGGGCTTGACTTGTAATAATCAATGGCAACTGAATTTCGCTATTGCAATCTGGTTTTGTGTTTTCTGGTTCTTCATGAATCATACACCATTGGCAAAAGTAACTCGCTTTTTTAGAACTTCCGTTTTTCGAATTTGATCTATAGGTATGTCGCTCCAGGGAATCATCTAAAAATACTTGATAATGAAGAATACCACACTTCTGTGTAATAGTTCCAAATATCCTGGACATTTTATTATTTTCATAAAAAAGAACTTGCACTCTATCTCCCACGCCTAATTGACGGGGTGAAGGATATTGTTCTTGAATTTTCACATGCTACATTGGTCAAATAGCGTCAAGTTTTATTAGAAAGGGTTGATTTAAGTACATTTCAGTTTCAAGAGTTTTCATTGATGTTGGTGCATTCCTGAGTATTTTTATTTCTGCTCATCGTGATTTTGCATCTATGACCACTAGAAAATTGGAACCTTGAAAAGGACCAGCATATAGTCAATATGTAGGTATACGATCCAAGCAGCAGTCAAAACGGACATAAATTGCTTGAATTGGTTTTCATTCATCTTCTATGGTCTTTGTTTTGTCCTCGTTGCCAATTTTATAGAATCTTTCCTTATTTGTTATGAAATAAAACCAGACTATTTGACTATATTATATCTATCAAACTCAAAAAGAAACATTTTAAATACTAACTGGAACTGGTGAATACCTTACAACATACCTTTTAAAACAAATATAATAAGGATATAACAGTATCGTTTTCTCATAGGTAGTCCATGAAAGCGAGATAGAGAAGAAAATGGTATTCGTTGGTTTTTCCTATGATAGTAGAAGGATACCTACTTATGTCTGTCGCTGTTCATTTATGTTGCCAAGCGTTTGTTGATGATTTCCATTGAAACCTCGTATTTTTAGAATAAACGAGACTTGATGAATCTCTTAATATATCAATCCTATCCCACAACTTCTTCGCTATAGTATTCCATTTCTCTAGTATATCCGCACTCTTTTGTCATAGGTTAAATACTCTTTTCAGTGTTAACTAGCCACTTTTCTTTCTCAAGCATTTCGACTCCATCTATTTCTATTGATTTGTTGTTTTTCAGATCGTTGCTTGCCTTCTCAAGCTCTAAATTTCCATTGATTCTTGTTGTTCTTGTCCATTTCTCCTATTTTATCATTATCTTAAATGCCCATAATTTTAAGGTACCTACCGAGTCTTGGCACTTCAGGCCATCATTTTCTTCAATGACTTATTCTATCATTGATACGTTGTTTTTCTCTATGTCTTCTTTGCGAGTTTTTTGTATTATTTTATTAAGTTCTCTATATTTTGTTGCCTTTCCCATCATTCAGAAAACGTCCATTGCCTCATTAGTAAGTCCCTTGTTTCTACTTTTATCCAATCCTGCAACTTGTGTTTCATCTTTCCTGCTTCAGAAAGAAATTTGTTAACATCATCTAGTTCTGATTCTTTTATCTGACTTTTTTCAGTGAGCTTCAAAATTCTTCCCTACCCCAGCTTGACTTTCATCAAGGGTCAAGCTTCACCCTTTTGTTGAACAACTCTAGATTTTAGCTCTTTCTGAACTGAGTATAGGATCACTGCGGGTGGTAAATCTGTTGACACCTCAGACATCTTCAAAGATATGTCTACATCTACATAGAAACTAGAGTTATTTGTCAGAAAATGAGCTAGCTGATTCCGGAGTTGAGCTTCAGTTTGTTGCCATATGACTCAAATAGTGACACAGTTATTGAACGATATATTTAAATAATTTACATAAAAATATCAATTTCTGACAAAAAATCATCATCGCTTCACCTGATGTTTGCTAAATAACCAAGACTTAAGTAATTACCACCAAAAAAAAAACGCATTTCTAATCTTTCTTACTTTTATTTAGACTTATTGGTAATTCTGTACCTACCTAGTTATTATTACTATACAATTTGGAACTTTATAGTTTCAGTACATCTAGGTATCTTTTGAAGTTTCTGGAACGAGAGTGTTACAATGTAAACTTCAAAGTCGCAAATACTTCAAAGTAATATTCCAGTAACTTTGCCCTGTTACTTGTATAGCACTTCAAAGTTTTAATTACTTTATGGTACCATTGAAAGTAACTACGACGTGGTTGCTAGTTTTGAAATTCCTTCAAAGTTATGAAACTATGTAGTAATACTCAAGGTATTACTCACGAAAACTTCACACTAATTTTTATTTCCCACATTACAAAGTCCCATTTACGTAAAAAAACGCACACAAAGTAACGGTCATTTTATAGGGACCTAAGGACAAAAATATCTATACCCGTTAGTTGCGTTCGGAAATGTAAATCCTGGATCGAGTAAGTAACAGCTGATCGTTGCTTAGCTCATTTTCAGAGTAGATTATTCAACGTTTCCGAACGATTGGGATTATTGGGATCGACGATCGCCGGCACCCGCGTTTGTTTTTCTTCCACGATTTGAGATTTAGTCTTTACCATATACAAATCACACAAAACTTGACAAAACGGAAACAAAACATATAAAATAAACATAACACATAAGCTAAGGTTCCAAACAACATGTCAAGAAACCGTACTATGTACCGTCACGATTCTGCGCTAAGCCAAAAATTTGTGCGTAGAACCGGAAATTCATGTACAGAGTGGTTTCGAAACCGTTCATGGGACGTATTTTATTGACGTGTTGGAACAAACCTATGTATATGATAGATTAATTTCCTACCCACGTCAAGAGCAGGGTTAACGAAATCACAAACATATAAGAAAACCGAGTCAACAAGATCACTTACCGAACGCGAGTACTAGACTTCGGATCATTTTAAGAACGATGAGATTACCTACTTATCCGATCGAACCGATTAATCACCCCGGCATCTAGATCACACCTTCCGAAAGCGGATATTTGAAAAAAATTGTAACCTCCATGCAAAATGCTCTAAATGTCATTATTAGATGTGTCTACAGGAGGGTTTAAGCGTCAACCCTAACAAAACCATAATTGTGCGTTTTACAAGGAAAAGTATATACATATATAGGCTGACGCTAACAGCCTCCAATCTTAAATGAAATACAAATCAACTGCGCAAGCGAGTTTAAGTATCTTGGAAACTTACTTGTAACCAACATCTTAAAAGAGTAACTGACCGTGCAATCAGGGGCGCCGACTTTTGAAAATCCTCATGGGTGCAGAATAACTTTATAAATTCGTTCATAGGGGTAGGGGGAAGCTCGCCGGAGGCGTACGAGAACTGCTTTTTTCCGCACACATTTAGGCACTATTGCGGAAAAATAAAATAATTATGCAATGTTAAATCACCTTGGTACTGCGTGTGGAAAAGTACTTCTCCGCATGGTCGTAGAAAAATAACGTTCCTTAATCATGTGGAAAATCTCTTTTCCTCATTTAATTGCTACGCACACGCCCTAACTGACGTTTCATTTTAGCCGCCTCTGTCAACTGTCAGACTGTCACTGGTCAACCAATGAACTATTATTAGGCGATTTCGGCAAGCTTTGGTTAGTATACCATTTGGTTAACCAATTGGTACCTGCAACGTCATAGTAATTACGTAAGATACCATTTTGTTCCGAATTCGTTTGGTAGGTCATGAAAGAGGGGAAGAGACGAGCCTTAACCTAATTTTGTGTTGTTCTTCTAGTTTTGGGAGAGACTAGATGCACTGCACTGACTAAAATCTATATTCACTAATCAGCACTATCTAGACAGTACCTTATTTGAGTAACCTATTGGCTAACTCAGCATTTTCTGTAAATTTAAAGCTTATTCCATAATCCATTTAGCAAAAAAGTTACCCCATATCTGTCGTTCAAAGCCATTTTTCAAACATTATTTGGTAGTCAAAACATACGAGAAAACAGGAAGATGAAGGCGAAAAAACAAACA